GTGTCCAGCAGGAGCTTTGTAATTTATTTTATGATAATAACCATTTTTTGTTCGGATATTTTCCTAGCTAACTATCGAAAGCAAAAGAAATTCAACATTTCGCTGGACTTTCCACCAAGTTACCCTTTGCGTGTGGATAAATGCGATTTAATTGGAGTTCCAAGTGTAGGTTTTATGGCAAACCTTTTTCTTTTGTTAGTTTGTTAAGGGAAGAACATCTTTGGACGTGTTTACAATAGCTGAGTTTGAAATGTGCAACGAAAAAGTCACTAAATACTGCAATAATAATGAAGATGGCGGAGAAACAATACTGTAATTGGTAAAACTGGTAATGATTAAACATTTAAAATTTATTGAATTATTTATAATATTAAATATTCCAAAAAAGGCTTGGAAATACATTTATTATATTTATAAGAGTGACATTTATTTAAATTGTTGTATATCTGTTGTGCTCTAATGTAGTTTTAATATTGTATTTATGATTTGCAAACTGTATACAAAATATATTTTTAAGGTAATTTATTTGGATAACATAGATGTCGTTTCGTTTTAAAATGGGGTTTGTCTAAAAGTTTCGCAAATTAGAATAGAAAGAGCTGAATCGCTAACAAATAAATTCTTTAATATATATATTTCATCGAGAGAAACCCAAAAATGTATTATTGGAAACAAAGGCAGTTTTTTGCGAAAGGAAGCTGTGTTTTTTTAAGCTGTCCAAAACGCGTTAGAATTCATTTGGCTTTGTATATTCGATTGGACTCCCTGGCGGAGTTCGCAGTGCGTGGAAACCTCTCGATAAATTTCAATTACTAACCCAATTAAAAAATGTTGTGCGCTTTTAGGCGAACAAACAGTGAAAAAGCGAATCAAAAAAACCAAATAAAATAATAAATGTAGGCATAAAAAAGGGAAATATTTTCAATACATTTGCGCAGAGCTTAACAAAAAAAAAAAAAAAAAAAAAAATCAGGAATGGAAAAGAGACGACAATGCAAGTGGAAAATGCAGCAACAACAGCAGCAGCAGCAGCAACAGCGGCTCCAACCGTTTTTAATTTATTTTTCCTCTCCCGCTGCTGTTGTCGCCCAACATTTGCCGACGTCACACATACGCACCATTGGCCCCGGCGACTGTCCTGCAGTTTTTTATGGTCACCGCTGCCGTCGCTGCAGCAGCTCAACCCCTTCTCTTCCCTTTTCCTACCTCCAGCCCCCTTTAAACACCCACCATTCTCGATGGAGGCAATCAGTGCACCTATGTACCCCGATCCTGGCCATCGCGGCCGTGGCCATCCAGGACATCCAGGACATTGCTGGCCCGTTTGCTTGCACGCGCTTTCGCATTTGGGCATCTCTCTTGCTTTTTGTTCATTTTTTGAGCGTTCGCGGCCATCGAGGCCAATGGTGGCGTCGACGTGTTGGAGCGGTACCGTTATATATTTTTATATATTTTATTTTTCATTCGCGCACGCATGCAATAAAACTTGTAAAAAACAGCGCTGCCGCTGCTGTGCCGTGGAAAAAACGAACAAGAGGTAAATAATGTACAGGCAACGCGAATGTGCAGTGTGGATATATTTGTGCCACTGTGTGTGTGTGTGTGTGGTGCGATTGTGTGTGTGCAAGTGTGTGTGAGTGTGTGATGATGGGGGAGGGCCGGGCAGACAGATGGGCGGCCGATGCGTTGCATACTTTTAGGCGCATCGATGCATCCTTACAGGAGTTTGGGGGGCCAGCATTTTTTGCAGCATTTGGGGCGTTGTCGGTTTTATTCGTTTTTTGTGCGTGCAATGGCCACGGCGAGCTGAAATAATGCGCTGTACTGGCACTTTTGACAACAACAGCAGGATGTTAATGATAACAATAACAACAACAAAACAGAAACAAGCAAAAGCAACAACAACAACAACAAATAATTGAAACGCTGGCAGCGCAGCCAACATCGCAGTCCGTCGTCCGCTTTGTGCGCCTTTTTAAATTGCAACTGAAATATGCGTTAATTTATGTTGCGTTGTTAAGCTTACACCCCCCGCAGCAGCAGGCCCCCCTCCTTTCTCCAACCCCCTCTCCCTCCCTCCAGTACTCCCCGCCCTCCCTCTCTCTCATCGTCAACTCTTTTTTTGTGCGTAAAATTGCGCCTTCCCTTCGGCGAATAATGCCACTCCCGCCCCCGTTGAAGCCTCATTATCTGCCTGTCGGAGCCGACAACGAATCAGTTTTCCCAGCTGCATCGCCACCCCCTCCCACTCCATCCCCTGGCTCCTCCGAACACCCAGCAGCATTTTACCAAAAGAATTATATAACCTCTCGTTGCCTTTGTTTCCTCTTTTTAAATCTCTAGAACTCGCAGCAACAATTTAATAGTTTTCCAAACAAGCCAATATAATCAATATTGATTTTTGTTAATTGCATACAAGTTCTTTCTTTCTGATCTGGTTTAAAACTATGTGGCGATGTATCTACTACTTAGTTTAATAAAAATCAAACATGAATATATTTATTAAAATATATTAGAATGGGGCAGCGGATATCAGATGAGTAAATTTAAATCGTGCTTAGTCTGAATGTTAAATTGCAAACCATTAACGAAGTATGCATCCCAATGCTATTTGTTTCTTTTTCTCTTATTTCTGATGTACAAAAACCCTAAAAAGCATCCAAAATATCCTACTCAGTAACAGGCCATTCAGAAAACAGAACAGGTTTGCACTCATGCATTGCCCCTTGTCCTTTCCCATCAGAAATAAAATCTCTCATGGTGGCAAGACGTGTGGACTTTTTATTGGTGTCCTTTGGCACAGCATCAGCAGCAGAATCACATCCATACAAACGCAAATAGCAAGGAGTTCGGGAGCAGACAAAGAAGTGACCAAAACTGGACATTATCTTTGCCCAAAAACGCAGGAAAACGGAGTCATGCGGGCCAAATCATCGGCAAACATCAGCATCATCGCAAAACTGGCGATCGGCTGGTGGAAAACCACCCCGAATTGAAGAGAAACCAAGTGACCAGCGGAGGCTGAGGATGGAAGATTGAAGACTGAAGACTGACCAAACAGAAAACTGGTTGCTCCGCAGATGGAAAGGGTTGATCCGGATGCTCATCTTGGCCGGGATGCGTGTCAAAGTTCAGCGGCGGTTGATGCTGTTGTCCAGTTTGGAAAACCGGCCTGCTTCTGGGTACGAATCCGTTGAAATTTTTATGTGAAAGTTCAGCAAAAAGAAGGAGGGAAATCTTATAAAAGTTCCCTGTCCTGCCAAAGATGCGGATGCGGATGCTGATGGTACCGAGCGTGAGAAAGTTTCCTTCCCGTTCCCAAACTTGTTTGCATCTAATGTCCTGCCGCAGATGCCAGCCGAAAACCAGTCGCTCCTTTTGGATCAACTACTTAGCCGGCAAGTCTATTTGCTGATGCTATTTGGTCAGTTGGCTAATTGCTAACCGAATGCCAAGCAGCCGGCCGTTTTAGCCAACCAGCCAGCCATCCAGCCATCCAGCCAAACATTAGCTCACCAAATGGGCAAAAGCCATCCATTGTTTGTCTATAAGTTGCCCCGGTAATTGTCCTCGAACGGAGTCACCGCTTAACTTCATCCGAATCCCGGTGGATGACGTGCTTCACCTTATTAGCTTAGATATTCCATTAGGCGCATCGATTACTCAGACATGCATTGATTTTTTCACAAGTGACTGCCAATTTCAATGCATAGGCGATGAGACCACGGCCACTAATGAGCACTCCCTGTTCAACCCCCAATTTTCAAGAGCTGTAAAATTAACTGATTCCAGGGACTTACAGGAAAAAGTCAAAATCAAAAAATTACAATAATAAGGTCACTTGAAGCAAAGCTCTTGCGGGTATAAGGTTAATATTAGATTAATATTCAAATAATTAAGTATTTATTATATATATGTATATATTCATTAGATCTATTTATTAAAATTAAAAAATTGCGCGAGCTACAGATTTACTATTTTGTGTTTTGATGAACAGTAATTGGTGTTATTGTGATTCTTATAGGTATGAGTATGCTTAAGACTTTTTATAAAATACATTTCTTGCCAAAATTGAAGTATCAAATTATATTGTTACAATATAAGTTTTTTAAATCAATAATATTATCTTGAGAGCCACACATTTCTTTTCCATAAAAAAGATTCGTTGAACATTTAATCTACTATCTTCTAAAAAAATCCTGTTCTTTAAAACATTCCTGCAGTTTCTAAAAGTTCGTTACAGACTCCGGCTGTCCCTTTAATATTAAATTTATTCAGGCTGACCGATATCAACCAGTTTTCGGTACTTTCAACGTAATTTTTGGCTGGGTCCAGTAATTAAGCTGAACCCAAAGACTCAGATGCTGAGATGCAGACAGAAGTCAAGTTGAAAAAGGACCGTCTCATCTAAAGCCTGTTCCGGGACAGGGCTGGCCAATCGCAAGCCAAGATAAATTTGGGATCACAAAAAACAAAGACGAATTCAAAGAAAACGCGAACAATATATAATCACCCCTAAGATGAAGTAACCACCACATAAGGACATCCCATTTCCGAATAAGATTTTGATAGAAATTTTAAAGCCTGCTTTTTGGCGAGACGATATAGTGTCCTGCTAGTTTTATTCTCCTCCTGAAATATTTTCTTTCAGAAACTTGTGTGCTTCTGTGCTTTTTCCGTACAACACACTATTTTTTCCGCATGATAAAAACGTTGTTATTAAGTGGCGCAACTTGTGACGCTTCGTTGGCAAGCTCAACGCAAAACAAACAACACAATGTACACTCGAAGGCAAAAAGAAGCGCAACAGGCGGCCTTTTGGGAGTGGAAAAGTGGATGGTGGGTGGAAAATGCCGACCTCTAAACATCATCATCCTCTTCCATTGGAAAACAACGAGCTCTCGTGCTTCTTGAGCGCTGAAAAGTATGCTGCTGAAATGCAAAACAACCAAGGTTCCCTTAAGGGTGAGTTTGAAATCATCTTCGGTTTGGTTGGCTCAGCTCGGCAACAAGAAGTTGGCCCAGGATTTGCCGGCCAGCAGTTGCGCAACTTTATTTATTGAGGTAGGCACCACGATTATCTGCGAGATGCTCGGGCATCTGAGGAGCTTGTTCCGGAGGGCTGAAAGCGCGCAGTTCAAAGTTCAAAGATGCCCGGTCAACCGGTTTGTATCTGGACCAGCCTGTCTTCGCCTGGACCTTGGGATCATCTTCTCCGGTGGACTGGCATCCGCATCTCCTCGAGATCTTCTCGGCGGGACGTTGATCACTTGGCCAGTCAGTTGTGTTTGAACTTTCATTCGGTCGCGTCGCGTTCGCTGTTGTTCATTTCTTTTTCGGGCTTTGGTTATTTGTTGAGCCGAAAAGATCTGATCGCTTGTTTTTCGTTTTTGTGGGATTTCTGTTAATTTTTGATATTGTTAAAAAAGAACACTGTTTTTGTTAAATTTTCGTTAAATAATCGTTTTTTAATTTATTTGTGTTTGATATTGGGTTGAAGCTTATTAAGCATACTTATTTTGCATCAAAAAGTGAGTTCTCAAAATCTTTAGTATTAGATTTCTCTGAAATCATTATCTTGATTGAAAACAAAAAATATTTTCTTGTGGTATAAGTGTTACAGTTGGAGACAGTGGCGGATTTACGGGGGTGGTTTTACCGCAGAGCGGTAAAAATGAATTGAAACTATTCGTTTTTTTCGTATTCGTATTTTTTTTCAATCGAAAACCCCCCCAGATTGAAATTCTAAATCCGCTACTGGTTGGAGATTTATACCAAGTGCCTGGAAAGGAAAATGTTTTAACTGAATGCTTTAACATTTTGCAGGACATTCCTTGAAATCCCACCAAACGAAGAATAGATTACAGCTGAAATTCCAATTTCACACAAAATTCTTCCCCTATCAACCAATGCAATCGATTATCGTTGGGACTTGGCTTTGATTGTGCGAGTTTTTCAGTCAGTTAAAAAGTGTGTACTTGAGTTTGGCCCTTGAAAAGCTTGCACCATGGAGCACTCGAATGGCAGTCGCAAGGGGAGTAGAGATCAGTCCGACCCACCTCAACCACAGTCCTCGGGGACGATTCCCCCATCGGAAAGCTGGAGCGGCAAGAGGAAGCTCTATGCCATCGATGAGCGCGAGGAGAGTTCCCCGGTGACTGTGGGCAAGGCGGAGGCGGATCTGGCCTACGATGCGGATGTGGACGAGCTGGTGGAGCAGCCGACAGGTGAGCGCGAGATCATCTACGAGCTGTTTCAGCCATGGGCCCTCAGCACATACGGCGATCAGGCCAAGACCAAAACGATTACGCTGCGCAAAAAGGCGCGGATTCTGAAGGCCTTGGAGGGCAAGGAGCACAGTCGTCCGGACAGCTCCAAGTTCCGCTTCTGGGTGAAGACAAAGGGTGAGTGGAGAAGAGGCAACCTGTAAGGACTACCCGATAATAACTAACTTTGCTCATTAGGTTTCACCACCAACCGACCTGATGGCTTTGAAGAAGCTCCCGGCAGTCGACGCCGATTGAAACCTCTTCCCAGTTCAGCCATTTTGTCGGATAATCCCGGCGATGTGGATCTCTTTGCCGCTTCCACCAGCAAGGGTTTCGGTCGCCGAACTTATCGCAAAGTGGCTTGTGTGGAGGAGTTCTTTGACATCATCTACAATGTCCACATGGAACTGGGAGGCCGCAGTGGCATGCACGCGGGTCAAAAGCGCACCTACCGCATTGTGAGTGTAGTGTACAAAGATCGTAAAGATTACATTTCAAGTTTAATACAACCTAGTAACATTATTTACATATCAGAAAAAAATTCAAGTTGGACAGATACATTTTTTAGCATTTACAGATAGTTATATTGAGATATTCAAAACTTTTTTTTAATTACTAAAAAAGATAAAATTAAACTAATAATAATAAGTGTTATAAAAGCTTACAATATTTAGGTAACTTTAAAAATGTAGATTAACAAAACTGTTTGGTTCAAAAAGATTTAATATTTTTAAATACGTTTTTTTTTTTTTTTGGGTAACACACAACTAACAGCCTCTGCATTTCATATAAAACAAATGTATTGCAATCACACTATTGACACATTTAGGAAGTATGTTTTTGTGTTTTTTATGAAGAATAATTAAAACTTGATAGTATCTCATATTTCCCCCATTTTTTTCATATTTTATTAACGAATATTATTTTCTCGAATTTTCCGCTATCTAGATAACCGAAACTTATGCGTTTTTGCCCCGCGAGGCAGTCACCCGCTTCCTGACCATTTGTCCCGAGTGCAAGAAGAACCTGCGACCCTCGTCGCCGTCGGGAGGCGGAAAGGACTCCGATCTGGCAGGAAACGAAAGCTCCTCGGAAGTGGAGACCTATCTGAACTACTCATCGCACACGGAGAGTTCTTTGGAGGCGGGACCCACGGCAAAGCGCCGCCGGCACTCGAGTGCCGATCTAAAGGCCTCTTTGCCAGCGGTTGCCGGTGGTTCTGGCCTCGGAGTGGGCGTGGCTGGGGTCGGCACCGGCCTGGCCAGCAGTTCCAGTGCCAGCCAGCTGGATGTCCTGGGGACAGGACCGCCGGCGAGCCCCAAGCCACCACAGGCGGTGCAGGCGGCTGTTGATACCACGCCGGTTAGCGTGGCCAAAATCCGGGTGAAGGCCCAGCTGCAGCGTCCCTCCAGTCCAGCAGATCAGTCCCTAGTCGAACCCAAACTAAATCTAAGTCCTACTCCCCAAACTCAATCCCAATCTCAGTCCCAGAACCAGAACCCAACCAATCCCCAAAGCTTTGATGCACAGCTGCTGAAGTCGCGGGATAATCTACTGCGATACTATGACTTCATGCGGCGCTTCTATGCCGGCGAACCGGTTTTAGCGCCGCCTCTTTACGGCAGCAGCCTGTTGCAGAGCCTCAGCTATCCAACCACCACCTCGACAACCCCTACGACCCCTTCTGCCACCACCTCAGTCCCTGCAAAGATGCTGGCCCCTCCCAAGGCGGCCACTCCGCCACCCAATCCTTCGAAAATCAAGACCTCACCTGACAGTTCGATGAGGGCACGCTCACCGGCGCCTTCAACAGCCCCGAATACCGCCACCGCCGCCAAGGATAACACCCTCACACCGATCAATCTAACGAAATCTATATTTTCCAGCCTGAAAGCCGGACAGCCAGCTTCCACATCGACTCCAGTTCCGCTCAAGCTGGAGCTGCCCAGTCCGCCGAAACCGCTGCCCGAACTTCGGATTCCCCAACTGCGAGGCATTCCTCCGGCGGAATTGTCCCTGCCGCTGCCACCGTTGGACTTGGAGCGATTGAAGCCCATCACCTCGACCTACTTGCAACTAACGCGCAGCATGGGACTCAGCGATGAGGATGCCTTGCGATTCGACAATCTGGTGAGTAAAGACTTCAAGTACTCGCTATAAAGTTTAAGAACAGAACACATCTATTTGGGATTGGTTTTCCTTATAAGGAAATTATGTTTATGTAGGCCAGGGAATTATCCGATCTCAAATAAGCAATCAATCGATTTACTTCGCAATTTATTCTTTTACTCAATATTTATTAAGCTGGGCAACCAATCAGTATTCATTATTCCCCAGTAATGCCATATATATTTCATGTTTTACTCTATATTATACATTTGTCAGCCCTTGGCGATTTAAAACAATTGTTACAATCTTTCACAAAGAAAAAAAAAATTAAATAAGTTTACATTCATACACATATTTAAAAATCGTTGTTCAAACAAAGGACACATTGAAACTGTTCAAATATTTATGCTTTTTGTCACATATTTTATGAGTAGTTGAATTTTAACAAACCGCCTGAAGGAAGGCAATGCTTTTTAATTAGTTCATATTTATCAACGAGCGAGTGGCAAATTGTTTTTGCTTCGTATTTAGATTTAAGAAAAACGCTTTTACCACGACATTCATACATTTGATCAAACAACAATTTTTTACTAATCTAGTTTCTCTTTTCTCTGACATGCTTGGCTTATAAATGTAACCCAACTAACGCAATGCTAACGAGCGAGAAAGACAATGACAGAAAAACACTCTTGTCGGCCGAACCAATACCACCACGCAATCAGCCACACGAACAACTACTACCAACAAATCATCCATAGCCACAATGCTTTCGGCCACCAAATGCGTTTTGCAATGAGCTGCGCACAAAATTATGCAATAGTTTTTTTACGTATTTTAATCATTCCGCCGTGAAATTCCAATTGAATTTCTCGTTCCCGCTTCCCTTTTGTGCTTTGGTTTTTTATAATTTTGATCTCTTAATGCTTGAATTATTTTTGGCTGCAATTATTTTTTGTCTGCTAAAATTATGTTGTTAACCATGCTTAGTCCACTAATGTTATTATTTTAATATTATTTCGTTGATTTTTATTATCGCAATTTTATTTTTCCTTTCTTTTTAATTTTTTACAGCTCAGTTGTTAGCGAAAACAAAAAAAAAATGTTGTTATAAATTAGCTATACAAAACTATTAATGCTTTTTTAATTAATTTGGCCAACGATCTGAAATAAAGAATATTTAATTTCCAAAATGTATGTATGCGAGTAGTTTTTGAATAATTTAGAGAGCTTTGTAGTTGCTTATATAATTATAGGTGCGAATATTGTTACAGGTAAGTCAACGAATCACACTTTACTTTGGGAAAATCCAAACAATTTAGTAGGAAATATTCTACTTTGCATAAACAACCTTATCAATGTGTTAGTTATACTTTGACGCAAGATTGTCTCAGACCTCTAAATTTAATCTGTGAGCTAAGCCTCAGCTGATAAGCTTTTTTATTGAACAGCGTAATTTTTGTATTACAAAGCTCGGTATTATTTGATTAAAGCTTTCGATTTACTTGGTGGGTTCTTGCTGGTTGAGTTCCTCCCCATTTCCCTTGACGGTGCTCAGTACAAATTTGACATGCAGAATTCGACCATTTCTATCCACGATTGTCTTGACCAACTCGCCGTTGTTGTTCTCAATGTCCGAAGCAGTGAGGTCCACCTTTTGCAAGAAATCATCTATGGTTCTGTCACTTCCGTCGCTATTTGAGGGCGAGAGCGTGGGAAGGGGCACCAAAGTTCGCTGGGTGGTCGAGGTTGAATCCACAACGGGAACGAAGACAGGATCGCGTTCGTTTTGGCGGGTCACAAATATCGAGTTGGTGTCGAAGGGTCCAGCTCTGGATGAGGGGAAAAGTGCACTGGGCGGACTCGGTGCAAAGCCGGGATTAATGGCACCCGATCCCTTCGAAACATCGGGGAATGTCTGGCGGAAGACATTGGTTCCTGGATCGAGGGTGCCACTATAAGTCCTCGTCGTAGTGGTCACCTTTCGTCCTTGACCGTCCACTTCGGTTTTGGTCGTGACTTGCGGTGTAACCCCAGCAGGAACCTCCCAGCCGGGAAATAGCGGAGATCTGGGAAAACCGCTGCCGAACAAAGAGTCGAAATTGGTTGTCCCGAAGCTGGGCTGCTGAACCGGACGGACATGACGATCGGGATTGGGCACGTACTCCCAGTCTTCCTGCGGCTTCGCGTGGCTATTATCCTCCAGTCTGGCAGGAAGTGATCCCTCCGTGACCTTGCTCCTCGAAAGGGAAGTGCCATCCGGACTCAGATTGTAGGTCACCGTGATCAGCTCTCCAGTTGGACTCAGGTTCCTGATAACCAGCGGCTGTCTGCTCCGCCACAACTCACGCAAACCCACTTCGTCCAATCCCATTATCCTGGCCGACTGTTGAAGGGCCTCGCTGGGTCCACTTTCAGTGGCTGTCGTTGCTGCCATCTATTATAGAAGGAAAGCATATTGTATCTTCTAGATTTTTCAGGAACTTTTATAACCTACCTCCAGTTGGAGCAGCAAAATGCTGGCACAGATTGCCAGAAGATATGCGCTATTCATTTTCGATCTTTTCACTTCAACTGCCTGAATCGAACTGAGCTTGGGGTTTATAAGCATATAGATTGCCGAGTGTATATGCAGTTATCATTCAAAGGTTGTCGGTTTTTTTCACAAAATTAAGAGTGAGGAAGATTCGCACATTCTCTTAAAGATTAAGAGTCGATTTGTTTTTTTTTTTTTATAATCATGCCGCTGATTACTAAGTACAAACACAAAGTACAAACAAGAGCCAACCACCCATCACAAAATCAATAACACAAATTCTGCAGATCTTACGAGTTCTGCAACTACACAAAAATTTACCAACGTCGCTGCCAACTAAAAACAGCGAGGCTGCCGCCGAAGTTTACGTCGCTGCCCAACCCACAGCGTTGATCAGGGTATTGATCCGCAGAATAAGTCAGTCCCGACTTGAACTCCGAATAAATATCACGTCTGAATTGAAATTGCAAGTCTTTAATTATTTGGAAATTAACTTGTATAAGCCTACGAATTGTAATTGAGCTGTCAATCAGGTTCATCGGTATTTTCTTGTAAAACAAATCAAAAGGGTACCGTGAGTAGCGAGTTTATACTTTTTTTTTTAAAAGAATAAGGGATAAATATAAAAAAAAAAATGGAAAGGTACCGCAAGTAGTGAATTTATACATTTTTTCAAAAGAATTACTGATATATATAAAACAAATCAAAAAGGTACCGCGAGTAGCGAACTTATAAATTTTTTCCAAAAGAATTAGTGACATATATAACTATATATCATTTAAAGATGCTCAGATCGTCTAAGACGGCTGATCGTTGCGTCCTTTGCCAAGTTTGAAACTGACACTCAGGACTCGACCCTGTTTATCGACAATCGTCTTGACCAGCTCCCCATCCTCCTCCTCGATGTCAGCTACAGTGATGCGATGTGCGGCCAAGTACTCATCGATGGCAGTGTCGATGTCGTCGTCTTTGGGCACCAAATTGAGCAGGGAAGGTTTATCCGTCTCTGGGTACCAAATGGGTTTCGTTTTGTGGGGAACACCTGGCTGGGTTGGGTTTCCAATGAGATTCTGTTCAGGAACATTATCTGGATCGCCTTCATCGAGCTTAGGTTGCTCTTCTGCGGGAACATTCATGGGGCGGCATTCATTTGGTGTAAAAAGTTTTACAACGTTGCGCCAAAGGTTTTTAATATATTTAACGGAAGTGAGGATTGAGTTGTAAAAGCCTTCAGTCCCTTTAAGCGTTGTTTGCCGTTGGTTATCCGTAACAGGTGGAATATCGTGGCGCTCTGGTACTCTGGCTATCGGATACCTCGCCTCGTCTTTCCTTTTCCTCAGTAGCTCCTTTCCATCGGGAGTTATCTCGAAGACCAACCTGGTCACCTCACCGGCACTTTTAGTTCCTGGGACAAGCCGCGGCCGATATTCTATCCTGAGCGTATACAAATGGATTGAGACTTTTGTCAGTGACCCTCGCTGGTACCTAGAAAAACGAAATATAATCACGTATGAGCAGATGTGCATTGCTTTAGCTTACAACATTTTGGAGCATTATGTTGCTAGCATAGATTAGCAAAATCCTCATTATAATTTTTTGCGCAGCATATTTAATCACTTTTGCTGTCGAAATAAAACTTTCGCAGCATAGCAAGCAATAGCCGATCACAACTGTTTTTAATCTGAAACAAAGAATAATTAATTTCCAAAATAGATGTTTACGAGTGTTTTTTTTTTTTAATAATTGGAATTGTGCACGTACTCCCAGTCTTCCTGCGGCTTCGCGCGGCTATTATCCTCCAGTATGGCAGGAAGAGGACCTTCCGTAACCTTGCGCCTCGAAAGGGAAATGCCATCCGGACTCAAATTGTAGGTCACCGTGATCAGCACTCCAGTTGGACTCGGGTTCCTGATAACCAGCGGCTGTCTGCTGCGCCACAACTCACGTAAACCCACTTCGTCCACTTTGGCTGTCGTTGCTGCCACCTATTACAGAAGGAAAGCATATTGTATCTTCTAGATAGACAGGAACTTTTATAACCTTTTATAACCTACCTCCAGTTGGAGCAGCAAAATGCTGGCACAGATTGCCAGAAGATATGCGCTATTCATTTTCGATCTTTTCACTTCAATTGCCTGAATCGAACTGAGCTTGAGGTTTATAAGCATATAGATTGCGAGTGTATATGCAGTTATCATTCAAAGGTGGTCGTTTTTTTCGCAAAATTAAGAGTGAACTTTGAGAAAGATTCGCACATTCTTTTAAAGATTAAGAGTCGTTTTTTTAATAATCATGCTGCTGATAAGAAAACTAACACTATGTTCAAACAAGAGCCAGCCACCCAGCATAAAATCAAAAACACAAATTCTGCAGATTTTTCGATTTCTGCAACTAGCAAAAATTTACCAACGTCGCTGCCAACTAAAATAGCGACGCTGCCGAAGTTGAAATCACTGCCCGACCCACAGCTTAGGTCAGGGTATTGATACGTAGAATAAGTCAGTCCCGGTTTGAACTCCGAATAAATATCACGTCTAAATTGAAATTGTAAGTCTTTATTTATTTTGAAATTAACTTGTATAAGCTTACTAATTGTAGTTTAGCTGTCAATCAGGTACACAGATATTTGCTTGTTAGACAAATCGAAAAGGTACCGCGAGTAGCGAATTCATAAGTTTTTTTCAAAAGAATTAGTGATACATGTAAAATAAATCAAAAAGGTACCGCGAGTAGCGAACTTATACATTTTTTCCAAAAGAATTAGTGACATATATATCAATTAAAGATGCTCAGATCGTCTAAAACGGCTGTTCGTTTGTTCCATTGCCCAGTTTGAAACTGACACTCAGGACCCGTCCCTGCTTGTTCACAATCGTCTTGACCAGCTCCCCATCCTCATTCTCGATGTCAGCGACAGTGATGCGATGTTTTTCCAAGAAGTCTTCGATGGCAGTGTCGATGCCGTCGCCTTTGGGTGCCAATGTGGGCAGGGAAGGTTTATCCGACACTGGGAACCATATGGGTTTCGTTTCGTGGGGAACACTTGGCTGGGATGGGTTGCCAATGGGATTCTGTTCAGGAACATAATCCAGATCGCCTTCATCGAGCTTAGGTTGTTCTTCTGCGGGAACATTAATGGGGCGGCATTCACTTGGTGAAAAACATGGTGGACAAAAACACGGCGGTGGTCTTGGAAATTGCTGCCTAAAAAAGTTGTGGAATATGTTATCGGAACTAGGAAGTCCAATCCGATTGAGGAAGGCGTTGTTGAAGAAATCAAAATGTCTAAGCGTTGTTTGCCAATAGTCATACGCAACAGGTGGGTAATTGGGGCGATCTGGTACTTTGGCTACCGGATACCTCGACTCGTCACGTATTTTCCTCAGTAGCTTCCTTCCATTGGGAGTTATCTCGTAGACCCACCGGGTCACCTCACCGGCACTATTAGTTGCTGTGACAAACCACGGCCTTCGGCTGATCCACATTTCATCTACGATCGCCCTATTCAAGTCCCATGCTTTAGCCTGAGCGTAAACGGTAGGGCTGAGTCCATTATTAGTGGGCCTAGCTGGTGCCTAGAAAAACCAAATATAATCACGCATGAGCGGAATGGGCATTGCTTCAGCTTACAGCGTATTGGAGCAACAGAATGCTAGCATAGACTATCAAAATCTTCATTGTTATTGCTTCCGCGGCACGTAACAACCCTTTCTGCTGTTGAACAAAAACTAAAAAAGCTTTCGCAGCATAGCAGTCAATAGCCGATCACAAGTATTTTTCAAAAAGACTCTCATATTTTTAGCTCTGCTCAGGTCTCTCGCTTATAAAAAATATAAGTAACTCACTCAGAAGTTTATGAAGGAGACACCTCAGACCCCATAAAGAATGTATAGGGGAGAGTGGGGCATTGCCGTCACTTTTTTTTTAATTGCGAAATTTGTTGATAAAATAACTTATTTTTATCATGTAATATACATGGTTGGATTCGGAAAAGATCTGGCTATAAAATGCAGTAAGTATTTCGGACATCCTCTCATTTGTTTATTAATACGAAACTGTTATCTGAAAGAAGGCAAAATTGGAAAATTGAAAAATCGTGGGGCAAAGTCGTCACCCCCCAGGGGCAAAGTCGTCACATAGAATAATGAATGCAAATTTAGGTACCCATGTGCACAAAACTATTTCAACTTGTCAAACACACATTTATTGATATTCATACATATAAAAAAGTGGAACACTATACCTATTTTTTGCAAAAATTTCACACATTCAGATCTAAGTGAAGGATAGAAGGCAAAAATCAGAATTTCTTAAAGATTTTTCTTTGGGCGACCTCTTTTTTAGAATTTTATTTTTGTTTGAAGAACATTTTGGAGAAATTATATTTTATATTTAATACTTTACATAAACAATCACAAAACAATAATAAATTGATACGAGTTTGTATTTCAGACTGAGATAATACAGTGACGACTTTGCCCCACCCGTTGAGTGACGACAATGCCCCACGCGACATTTTTTGATAAAAACATGAATAACAAATCGAAACTCGAATCAGCTGTTCCACAACCTACCATATCGTGTTCGCCAAACATTTCTCAACAATAATAACTCACCTTTATACTTCTTTGATCGAAAATGTACTTGGAAGAAAAAAAGTTCTGCGCCGGAGAAAAATTACTTTTGAGGCTGCGAAACACTTTCTGATGAATAAATAATTATGCATAACCTATAATTCTACCAAACTCCGTCGGTAATGTAGGAATAGTGCAATACACTTACGCTAAAAAAATTGGGTTGGTAGCCCTTTTATTTTTTAAAATAATAGCGAGTGACGACTTTGCCCCACTGACGACATTACCCCACTCTCCCCTACTATTCTTGATCAGCATCACGATCAGAATCCAAATATGTCTCTACGTCTGTCTGCCTGTCCGTCTTTCAAAAACTAAAGAAGAAAAATATTACGCCGTTGTTTTTCATCGAATTGACTTGATTAAAAAGTTTGATAAAGTTTTAACATTTAAAATGCGGATGGTGTACGTCACCAAAAAATAAAACCAGTCAACAACTTTCGACTTAAAATGATTAAACAAATACGTGGATTTTTTCTGTACAGTGTGGGACAGCGAAGGTAAACCGTTGCTGGTATTCACGTTTTTAAAGTTTATAATAAAACTTTTATGTTATATCCGGGAGATGCAACTTGCTTAACGCAGTTAAATTAACTTGTTTTGTGCAGCTTTTAATTACTTTAATAAACTAGCTTTTGTTCGCGGTGAGCAAGTGTGATTTCCGATTAACAAGTAACTTGGTTACAGAAAATACTAGTTAAGACAATTACAAAACGACTCAGAGAGCAATAAAATAAATTTTCTCACGCTTACAAAATCATGATAATCAATTTTTAATACAATTCAATATTGGTTGGCTTGAAATTCATAAGGAAAAAATTCAAATCAATTTAAACGATTTAAACATATTGTAAGGCTTCAAAATAAGAACACTTACAGGGTTGAGTTTTTGTAGGAAACTGATTTTATTCTTTCTTGAGTTCGGTTTATATAGGCAATATTTGTATGAGTCTATGGCCTACGCAGAGACCGCGTTTGCCATCAAAGCGGGAGCGTTATCTTTGATATTTTTAGAGTAAAATAGCCTGTACTTGAGACTATGAATGTCAGAAGCACTCACTTATTGTTAGTTTTTTATGGTACAAGCCTGATGCACACGCGCATAGATCTCAATAGTGTTCGTCTAAACACATATTATTTTTAACTTTGCAAATATGAAATGTTACTTAATGAATTTATAAAACTAGTTAGGCGAAGAATGAAAGCATAGTAAACAGATAAGTTTAGTATGTTGCAAAAAGTGATCCCCTTTAATGTGTGGTTACCGACACAATATTATACGAGAAATAATGAAATTCTATTGGCTCTTCAAGTGAATCAGTGGAAGTGAGGTTGTGGATTGATGGTTCTGATAGGATATTAAAGATGTAGCCCCAACGATAGAAGGGCATGAGTTAGATTCTGGGGGAAGGGGGTGGCTTGTCCGGAAAAGTTCGGCGAAGGGTGCAACAGCAGGACCGGACTTCAGTCATGGCAGTGCAGGATTTACGCTAAAAAGACGCCATAAACCTTGAATGCCAACAGAGCGGAGCAAAAAAAGGGGACCGAAATTGGAATTTGATAGACGCCGGGACCTCTGGTCCTTGTTCTGGTCCCAGGTTTGTGGCCCCGTGGCTTCTGCTCCCCATCCTGGCCGGAGTCCTTGCTCAGAGGCCGTTGCACGTATCCCCAAACCCTTTCGTCCCTTTCCAGGAGCGATGAGGAGGGGTGACGGCAAGGCGAGTATTGACGACTTTTTAAAAGGGTCGAACGAACGTCGGTGTTGTCAGGAATAAAAAGGAGTTGGGGGGGGAAGTTGGGCAAGTTTGGGGGGTTGGAGCCCGGACGAACATGGCTTAGAGGGGGCGGAACGAGGGGGTTGCGTTGGCGCGTGCTATAAACCAACCGATTTTAACGCTTTACAGGTGAGGCCAAGCGAGGCGAAGGTGTCTGTGTGTGTGTGTGTGCTTGTGTTTGTGTTTGTGAGGGGGCGGCGATTGGGTGGCCGGCCAAAGTTATAAAACTTTACAGTTAACTAGGCTTGGCAATCAAGCTAAAAGCAAAGGCGTCGTCCTCGTCCTCGTCCATGTCCTGTTGCTGCCACGGCTCCCGTTCGGAGTCCCGCCTGGCGCCATCTAGCGACAGTTGCCGCAGTCAGGCGATTTCATCCCCCCTCCCTTTCCTCCTCCAAAAAAAAAAAAAGGAAGAGTCCTTGCCCCTCTAAATGTGGACAGGTCAACACCCACTTGACCGTATGTGGGTGTAGCTTGTAGCTTGTGTGTGTGAGTGTGTCCTACGAGTCCTCGTCCCCGTTGAATGAGTCAGTTTGGGAACCTCACGCTCACAATCGCACCGCCATCCACAAATCCTGCGCCACCCAAAGGGTTTGGCTTGACCAATGCTCCGTGAGTTTGTCCAAATCGCTTTGGCTCCGCTTTTTGCGGGCTGATTTTTTACCCGTTTCGTTTCAGATATTGTCATTGGGTTCGGGACATTTTTTTACGATTTTTTTTTTTTGGTTGCGGGTAAAGAAATCCAGTTAGCTTCTAGTGGCTGTGTAGGTTTCGGAAACGATTTAAAATTTTGTTCGCTGTCAAATATTTCTATATTTTGTAAAAATATTAATTTTTTGCTTTATATTCATTTTTAAAAGAATTTTTTTCATAAATAACATTGCCATAAACTTGTATATAATTTACTAATGAAATAATTCCAGATAAAAACCTAAAAGTTTTCATTTGTAAATGAATGTTCAAAAACCAAATTAAACACCATTTGTTTATTTAAATTTTTAGATCTTTTGGAAATAATTTGTATATTGTACTAAGAAACTTTTTTACCTTACATGGCCAATATACATTTAAGGGTATTTAAACTTTATGTATTAGGTATAGGCCATAAGCCACTAAGAACGGAACAGAAGTCCAGAATTTATGTAAATCCCACTTTAGTATTAGGGGACCGTCTGAAAATTGGGGGCCAGCGGCCATGGGCACGCACCCCCAAGAGGCGTTCTGGGTGCCACGGACCCACCCGAATTCGTATCCAACTCGAACCCCAGATCCCAGATCCCAACTCCCAAGACCCCAACCTCTCGACTGGGAACCGGAGCGACTGTCTGTCAGTCGGTCGATGGGCGGGGAGCGGAGTTTTAGTGCCTTTGGAACATGGGTCGGGCACTTCTTCATTAATTTTCATGGCGGCACAAGAACAATGCCACGCCCCCAACCCAACGCCCCGTCGACGCGGAGGAAACAGAAAATGTTGGAGCGGCGAAAGCGAAAAAAAGTTTCTCCAGTTCGGACCAAAGTTGTGGGTGTGTTTTGTGCAAATGAGTGAAGGTGGGGAGACGCGTTTCTCGTCCTTTTCTCGGCTTGTGTCTGTGTGGGTATATCTCTACAGCTGTCTATCCGTGTGTGTGTGTGTTTGTGTGGGTTGATTACTTTCTGTTTAGGTGCCCATCCAAGTCGCCACCCTTCCCCCACCCTACCACCTTACTTGCCTTTCGAAAAAGGACTTCTGAAGGCAAAAACGCATTTTTATGTTTGCTCGCCTGCCCGTCGTCTAGCGGTCCTTATTCCCCGCCCTTCTTCCCCTTTTATTTTTTTACCGTAAGCAGGATGCGAAGCCCTTTTTGCGCCCAGCCACACCCAAGGATCTGGCAAGGGAACGAGGCGAGGGGGGTGGGGAGGGGGGTGGTTGTCTACCACCGGGCAGGGCAGGGACTATCGTTCCAACCCCATCGATGTCTGGGCCCTGGAAAAATTGCAATTTTCGCCGAGGAAAAAAGCCAAGACAACGTCTTGGAGTCGCTTTGACATGGCCAGGGACCAGTTACCCCTCTCCGTCGCTCCCCTCGAGGCTGCTCTAATGAATTTCCGTCCAGGCAACTGGGCAGCATCCCCTTGGCAAAGGGAAAAATAAGAGAGGCGAGCGAAAAAAAACAATTAAAGTTGGATTTGGTTGAAGGAATGGGCCAAACGCACCCATAATCATAATTGCGCGCCCGAAACTTGTCGATTCTTTAGCCCTACGCTTTTTCCAACCTTCCACCGGCCAACTTCCCCTTCCCAACTCCACCGCTTCTCCTTCTAATTGTCAATCCCCC